AGGAGTAGGAGCAGGAGCAGGAGCAGGAGCAGGAGCAGGAGCAGGAGCAGGAGCAGGAGCAGGAGCAGGAGCAGGAGGAGGAGGAGGAGAAGGAGGAGGACGATGACCTGATGCCATCAGCGCCCAGCGCCCAGGAGGAGGAGGATGATGGCCCAGGAGATGTTTTTTTGTGCTCTTCCTGTAAGGGCCGTCACTCTTTGAGGGGGGCCAGGGGCCCTGAGTAACAGCAACGCTTGGGTGGAGTGGGGCACGTTGGGGGGGGGGCGCTGCGACCGCCAAAGTACGTACAGTGGAAACCCATGCCAAGAAGCCCTGCTTGCCTCCAGGGTGCCCTGGGTTTCTAGGGTCTCGATGCTCTGGGAAGCGTGAGCTTCCCACACCAAACATCCATGGACGTCCTGGGGTCTCAGGGTTGGGTTTCTTGCGAAGGTTCCTTGTGCTCGAGCTCTTACTGTATGCGCGCGGGCACCAGCATGGGGGGGGGTCCAGGCTGGGAAGCGTGACATTCCCACACCAAACATCCATGGACGTCCTGGGGTCTCAGGGTTGGGTTTCTTGCGGAAGGTTCCTTATGGTCGAGCTCCCACTGTTGCGCGCGGGCACCAGCAGGGGGGGGGTCCACCCCCCCCCACATGATCTTCCCGATCTTCCCGTCGAAGGGGGAGGAGGGTCATCAGGAGGAGGAGGAGGAGGAGGAGGAGGAGGAGGTGGAGGAGGAGGAGGAGGAGGAGGAGGAGGAGGCGGAGCAGTAGGGGGAGGAGGAGTGAGGAGGAGGGACGCGGATGGAGGAGGAGGAGGAGGGAGGAGGAGGGGAGGAGGAGGAGGAGGAGGAGTGGAGGAGGAGGGAGGAGGAGGAGGAGCAGGGAGGAGGTGAGGAGGGAGGAGGAGGAGGAGGAGCAGGAGGAGGAGGAGGAGGAGAAGGAGGAGGAGGGGGTGCGGGGGCGGGCAGCGACCGTTGCGCGCCAGAGATGAAAAATACAACACCTCCAGGCCTGCAAAGCATTGGCAAACATCAGATTTGAGGTGTCTCTCCTTCTTGCTCTCGACGCCTGGGCGCCCGCGCTGGGCCCCGGGATCGTCCAGATAAGACCAGTCCAGGTCGGGAGCGGCCAAGAGGGGGGTGTCCAAGAGGGGGGGGTGCAACTCATGACCAGCGGCATGTGCGCGGCCCAGCGGGGGTGCCAGGGACGTAATGAGATAAGAGGAGGCGCCATGAAATCAGGGGAAATATCATGACCCCCGCCATGATGTCCACCCCCCCTTAGTCGTCACCCCCCTCTTTCCCGCCCCAGGTCGAAGCATTGGTCCCCGAGAAGTGCTCCAGAGCTCTGGGAGCCCCGCATTGAAAAAATTATCAGGACGTCGGAGGTCCGAAGTGGGGGGGCGGAGGAGGTTACAGTCAACCCGCATACGGCATGTTCGCGTCGTGTCGACCGGCGACCCCGCCGCCGGCGTTCAGCGTTGAGCGCTGCCGGCGGCCCAGAGTCGGTCGATGTTGAACGATCCTGACGTTTCGGAAACGGCCGATCGTTCGAGGCTGAACGATCCGCGCGGTGTCAGGAACCAGCGCCAGAGTCGACACGACACAGAACTGCCGTTGTAAGGATGAGCGACTTTCCCAAGGGTGCCCTTGCATCCTTGCCTCCTCGGCCCTTCCTTGGCCGCTTCCGCTGGCCGCGCCCCGCTCGCAGAGTGTCGGCATTGCTTTCTAAGGCCCTTGCGTCCTTGCCGCGCATCCTTATGATACGGGCCGACTGCAACAGGAGTGTCCAAGGCCCAGGATTGCTCTCAGTTGCCAGGGGGGAGGGCGACAGCCTAGGCGCGCACCGACCCTGGTCAGGCCCATCCTGGTCCTGGATGAGTGTGCGTGCATAGCTCCCGACCCCCCCATGAGGATCCAGGCCTCCCAGATGGGGTTCGAGTAGATGGAATCGGAGGACCGCGTCACATCGCCGATGCGTTGGCGATGCGGCTCAATGTGAAGCCCGATTCTCTCCTCGCCAACGTCGCCGATGCATGGCCGCGCCGATGCGTCGGGGATGTATCGGCGATGCGGCGCGATTCGCCGACACCATCTACTTGGGCCCTATTTGGGAGGCCTCCAGAGGATGAGGAGGAGGAGGAGGAGGAGGAGGAGGAGGAGGAGGAGGAGGACGGGACCCATTGCAGGCGGCGCCCAGATCCTCCGCGGACCTCTTCGGAGTGTTCCCTCGCGTGGACGCCGCGCAGCTGTGCGTCTACGAGGCGGAGACGGTCCAGCTGGTCGGCTCCGTCGACGCGGAGGCCCTGGAGGGCGAGCTCCGCGGCGCCGGGGACACGACGTGGCGGCCCGTGCGCACGGACGCCCAGGGGGGCGGCGCCGGCAGGGCGCTATTCAGCGTCGCCATCGGTGCCTTCCGGAACACGACCGCGGGCCAGTACAAGGAGCTGGCGCTGGCGTTCCCTGCGTGCGAGGGCGCCGACCCGGTGGTGCTGCCCTGCCGCTCCTACCTGGGCTGCCAGGAGCTGCTGCCGGAGTGCGCCCACGGCTACATCCGAAGAGCAGACAGCGGGGCATGGCCACTCCTCCTCCTCCTCCTCCTCCTCCTCCTCCTCCTCCTCCCTCCTCCCTCTCCTCCTCCTCCTCCTCCTCTTCCTCCTCCTCTTCCTCCTCCTCCTCCTTCTCCTCCTCCTCCCCCTCCTCCTCCTCCTCCTCCTCCTCCTCCTCCTCCTCCTTCTCCTCGAGCCGGTGGTCCAAACATGGGGTCACGAGGAATGGGGCCCCGAGGACGAAGTGCCCCGAACGGTGTAGATCTACCCCTGGATCCCTTCCTACCCTTGGGGCCCCATCCCTCAGGGCCACATCTTTCTCGGGGGTGGGCAGAAGCCCCACCCTGACACACGTCGACTGGTGAGCTGTTCGTTGTTTCGGTTCGCGAGAGGGCGCCGCGGCCGCCCTCTTCCAGGCGTGCGCCCGCCAGCTTTGGGCCCGAGGTCGCCTTCACTAAGCCACGTTTTGCGACAGGGGTCCTGTCCATCCCCGATCCTTCAAACCTCCTTTCAACCGCCAGGGTGGCGCAGAGGGGGGGGGGGGGCAGCAGGGCCGGGCCCAGGAGACCCGCGCGCGGGGAGGCATGGGGAGGCCCAGGGTCTTGAGTCGGGCATGTGCCTCCGCAGGACGAGTATTCAAACACAGGCAAACAATAGTCTGGGGACGATTTGTTTGTTTTTATATGCTCGATTCTGGTATATAAAAACGTACAATATTAGAGGAACGAAGAATGATATAAACATAACAACTCGGAGGTCCGCGCGGAATTCTCGGATCGGCTCTGGACCCCCCTCCCTGGCGCGCGGAGCGCGCCTGGGGCGGCGCCGGAGGCGCCGCCAGGGGGGTACCAGCGCGGATCCGAGAAGTCCGCGCAGACCTCCGAGCTATCATGTTTATGCCACTCTTCGTCCCCGTAATTATTTCCCGCAAATGTTATCATTTTTCGCCCAGAGTCCGCCTCTAGGAGGACATGCCCGACCCAAGCCTTGGGGGGGTAGACCTTTGGTCCGCGGGGGCGGTTGCCTCCAGGCCCCCGGTCCCCGCAGCCGCGGGGCGGGTGCCACCAGCCCGGCGGGCGGCTCCCGGCGGTCGGGGGGGGGGATCACCGAGCATTTTCTCTGGGTGGCAAGCAGAGGGTGACGTCTGACATGCCGCTTCGATGGATCTTCGAGGCTCGAATTTGCAGAAGGTGGATCACAAGACGGATTGAGAATCACTCGAGGTGCAGAAGTCCAGATGGAGTTCACCCGGAGCCCTTCCACCCTAAGAAACTGCTCAGGACAAGGGGGGGGTCCCCCGAGTTGTGGTGCGCAGAATGATGGAGGGGACGGAGAAGAGGGAGGGGAGGAGAGAGGGAGGGGAGAGGTAGGGGAGGGGAGAGGGAGGGGATGGGGAGGGGAAGGGGCAGGGAGAGGTCAGAGGAGGAGGAGGAGGAGGAGGAGGAAGAGGAGGAGGAGGAGGAGGAGGAGGAGGAGGAGGGGGAGGCGGGGGAGGAGGGGGATGGGGAAGGATGATAGAACGCGACGTGCCTCGTGCGCCACGTTTGCTCAACGCAAAAAGGGGGATGAGGAGGAGGAGGAGGAGGAGGAGGAGGAAGAGGAGGAGGAGGCGGCGGAGGAGGAGGAGGAGGAGGATGCGGCGGAGGAGGAGGAGGGGAAGAGGAGGAGGGGAAGGAGGAGGAGGCGGAGGAGGAAGACGGGGAGGAGGAAGGCCACGTGGTAAGCATGCTGCTGTCTGTCCTTCTGGGCGTGCTCTCGAGCCTCGTGGACGCGCCTGCTGCCGTCGCGGCGGTCTCGTCGGGCGGCGCGGAGGTGCAGCTCGCCAGCGCGTTCTCCTTTGGGCCGCTGGGCGCCGACGAGGCACAGGACACGCTCGAGTTCTCCATCACGGGGCCCTCGGGGGGGGGGGACATGCAAGCCTCGGGCAGGGTCCATGTCGATTCGATTGATCCGATTTGACACCGGTTCGGGCCGGCCCGATCCGATTCGATGCCGGTCTCCCGAGGATCCGCTGCGGCCCGATGCTTGCATGGCGCTGTTGTGCATGCTGGCGTAGCCGATCCGACACGGCTTCGATGTCGTGCCGGTGCAGCCCGATCCGACGCACATGTTGAGTCGACCCGAGTTCCCGATTCGATGCTGACTGACCCTGCCTCGGGTCGGGCGAGAGGGGGGGGGCATTTTGGAAGGGGTGGGTACGAGAACTGCCGCATGCAGCTGGCTTCGGCACCGCCCCTGGGCAGCCCTTCCTCGATGTGTTGGCGCTTGTTGTCGCCGGGAGGAGCTGGTACAACCCGCCACGAGAGCTGATTCGCAAGTCCCTTGACTAGTTAGCCCCCCCCCTTGTCCAACCCGAAACCCAGGACCCCCTCGAGGCGTGGCAAGACAACGCGGCGGAGGGTTTGGGCAATTTCGGCCTCTGCGGGCCTTGCCTAGGCATTTGCTTTGTCTGAGCATTTGGCCCTGGAGAAGAAGTCAAGTCACTTGACTTCCTCTTACCACAAGACTTCTTAGTAGTCTTGTGGTCCACGCTGCGAAGAGACTGCGATGTCGGCGGTCTGGGTTAACGTCGTGATCTGGAACAGCGGGGGCACTCGCGGCGCATCGCTGGACGCCCCCCCCCCCCCCCCGTAAGTTTTGAACAGCAGGGGGCGTGGACGTCGTGAGGCGTTTCCGCGCTTTGGCGATGTACGGGTGATGTGTTCTCTCTTGGAGGCGAGCGGGGGCCCACTTGAGGCGGGTGTTCGCAACCGCGTTCGCGTGTGAGGGGTGGATGTGGTTTTGTCCGCCGTCTTCTCGGGCTAGATGATTTTTTTCTGTGCACGTCGATCGGAGGAGGAAGAGGAGGAGGAGGAGGATGAGAAGGAGGAGGTTCGGTCAGGACAGCCCCGAGGGGAGGAGACTCGCAAGTCTGAAACAGGGGTCGATGGCACCCATCCGAGATGGATTTGCTACCGTGGAGGACAGAGCTCCCAACATTCTGGTCAGGGCCAGCGACAGGGTGCCACGACCAGAGATTACTCCTCCGCCCCGTGAGCCCGCCTGGCTCGCAACACGCTCCGCGAGTGCAGCCAGCCGTGTCATACGCAGGGACGGCGGGGGCACAGGAGAGGGCGGTAGGAACGGAAGCGCGAGGAAGAGTCTCACAGCGCGGTTTGGGCTGCACATGCAGCGCTGAGGCCGCGGCGGCTCTATCAATGAACTGACGGACACGACTGCTGGGGCCCAGGCCTCGAGGGTACTTGCTGAGCATTTCACGGACATTCCTCGTGGGTCTCTGGCAGGCCTTGTCGAGGTTACGAGAATAGCGTTGGGCCCAGTGGCCACATCGAACACACAGCACTTGCAAACGGGCTTGCCTGATTTTGGAGGGCACATGGGGTCCTGGGAGGGTTCTCGTGAGAGGCCCAGGGGCCCCAGAGCAACCCATAGCCTCCTTAGGCGATCCCCCTGGGTTCCTCATGAGACAATTGCTCGCACCGTGCTCCGAGCGGCCCTTTCCCCCACTCGGTGCCAGCCAGGGGGTGTGCTTGACGCGGAGCGGTGGCGTGTGAAAGGGAGCTCCATCTTGGCCCTGGACTGGACATGCCGGGAGCGCAGCAGCAGCAGCAGCAGCAGCAGCAGCAAACTCAACAAGCAGAGACGCCTTCTCCACCTCATCTTCTAGCCTGTTGGCCGCCTCTGGGCCCGCAGGCCCATTCAGCTTGAGCGCCTCCTTAGCAGCAGCAGCAGCAGCAAACTCAACAAGCAGAGGCGCCTTCTTCACCTCATCTTCTAGCCTGTTGGCCGCCTCTGGGCCCGCAGGTTCATTCAGCCTGAGCGCCTCCTCAGCGTGGATATGAGCAGCACGGTTAGCATTCGCCTGGCCTCGCCCCAACGGCCGTAAGTTATCTATCGCGTCCCCGGTCCGATGGGCTTTGACGTGCTGGACTGCCTCAACAGATCCATGCCCTTCCCGAGATCTGGCGGAAGCGGAACCACGAGCACACACCCTGCTTGCACGAGGCTGTCTATGTTCGGGTGGCAATTCTTGGGCTATGGCTGTCTTACAACATGCGTGAACAGTTGTGCTACGATCAGCAAGTCGAGAGGCGACGGCTAGAGACAAGTTCTCGGCCATGGCAGGAGTCTGCGGAGCACCTCCAGGTACAGTGCCACGCGCAGCAGAGAGGGTGGCTTGGGTCCGGGGGTCGAACATAATGACGGCAACAGCAGCACGTTGAAAACAGGACGAGGTTTGGCATAGAGTTGCTGCCGTCCACCGCCAGGTGTAGCATGGCTGCTGGCCCAATCAAGGACGTGGCTTCTTCAGGCTCAAGGTCGGGAAACAGCTCCCCATCTCCATTCAGGGCATGAACGATCGGTGCTCCAAGCATGGGTGGGGTATCCCCTGGCAGCAGCGAAACCACACCAGGGCTACACATCAGAGTCTCAGGGCCCTCTCTCGCCTCCGCGACAAAGGGCGCAGGGAATTCCGAGTCAGATTGGGGCTGTGAAATAGCAGGGGCGGTGCAACAGTACAGTCTGTGGCGCACAGTGTCGGGCACCCCGCATTCGCAAATACCGATCCAGCACGTGCAATACCCACTTGCGTGGGCTAGTTGGTCAGCCCATAGGGAGTTACGAGCAGCAGTTCGCACTACCTACTTCTGATGTTGTGTGTATTTGGCCGCCTTGGCCTTCAAGCAACTCTGCGCCACTTCCAGGTTCGCCCTCGCCCCAACAGGGACCCCCCACCTCTCCCCCAGCGTTTTCTCATTGGTATCCTGGCAAGCAGCTGGCATAGCTAAACATTCTACTTTGCATCGCTGGGGGGGCACTGTGTGAGCTGGATAGTGATTCCATCTTGGTTAGCTCACGCGGTGGTTGGGACAAGCTTCCGCCTTACTCGGGCAATGCAGCGCGGCACCCGGGAAAATCGGTCCTCGGGTGGTCTGGGCACATGTGGTATCAGCTCTTCCGTCGGCTAAAACGTGGTCTCACATGCGAACTACGTCGGGCAGGCTGAGGAAAACTACCTCAGGAAAAAAACAGTTTGCCAGATCATGTTGCGCCACTGGGGCGTGGGTGCCG